CCCACTCCTCTTTCTCATTTGCATCAATGACCTACTGAATGCAACAAAGCTGCTCAAACCCATATTATTTGCAGATGACACATCATACATCTTCTCTCACCCAAACCCAGTCATACTGGCTAACACTGTTAATGCCAAATTGCAGAAAATAACTCCCTGGATGATGACAAATAAGCTTATCCTCAAAACTGACAAAACCTATTTCATTCAGTTTGGAAACAGTGCTGCAAATGTTTCACTTAACATAACGCTCAACGGATCACCCGTCACAAGACTCACAGAGGGAAAATTTCTAGGAATCCACCTTGACAGTAGCCTTAAATTCCAGACACACATACAACAAATTTTTAAGAAAATCTCTAAGACATTAGGCATACTGTCAAAGATATGGTACTATGTTCCACAATCAGCTCTCCTTGCACTGTATCATGTATCATTTACTCATCTACCCTTATCTCATACGAAATTTGTGCATGGGGATCAACAACAATAAATCACTTAAGACCACTAATAATCCAGCATAAGGCTACAGTCAGAATGATGACAAATTCCCACTCCCAACAGCATACTCCACCAATATTCAAAAGTCTAAAACTACTCACCGTTAAGAACATCCATACTTATTCATGTGCCTACTACATACATAAAACACTTCACTCAAACATGAACCCTTCACTCAAACTTGTCCTCACCAACCTTAACAGGACACACAACCACAACACAAGACACATCTCTTTTTGATATACCCCGTGTCCATATCTCACTGTGTAAAAACTCTATGCACATAAATGGCCCCAAAATTTGGAATTCATTACCAGTAAATACTAAAGTAACCCGGTCTGAACATCAATTTAAGGCTTTTCTCAAAAGCCACCTACTCACCCTAAACTAAATACTCAATACTCAATATTTAACTGTACCAAAAATCTCCTAATTACCTAAATCTTAAAACTTCAAATCTAGATGCCCGAAGTTCATACATTATTAATACTACATTCAAATTCAAATGTTTATTTCTCAGTATAGATTACAATGTTCTTTTCTTTCTTTCAACGAACCGGCCGTATCCCACCGAGGCAGGGTGGCCCAAAAAGAAAAACGAAAGTTTCTCTTTTTAAATTTAGTAATTTATACAGGAGAAGGGGTTACTAGCCCCTTGCTCCTGGCATTTTAGTCGCCTCTTACAACACGCATAGCTTACGGAGGAAGAATTCTGTTCCACTTCCCCATGGAGATAAGAGGAAATAAACAAGAACAAGAACTAGTAAGAAAATAGAACAAAACCCAGAGGGGTGTGTATATATATGCTTGTACATGTATGTGTAGTGTGACCTAAGTGTAAGTAGAAGTAGCAAGACGTACCTGAAACCTTGCATGTTCATGAGACCGAAAAATGGACACCAGCAATCTTTCTTTCTTTCAACACACCAGCCGTATCCCACCGAGGCGGGGTGGCCCAAAAGAAAAAATGAAAGTTTCTCCTTTTACATTTAGTAATATATACAGCAGAAGGGGCTACTAGCCCCTTGCTCCTGGCATTTTAGTCACCTCTTACAACACACATGGCTTACGGAGGAAGAATTCTGTTCCACTTCCCAATGGAGATAAGAGGAAATAAACAAGAACAAGAACTAGAAAGAAAATAGAAGAAAACCCAAAGGGGTGTGTATATATATGCTTGTACATGTATGTGTAGTGTGACCTAAGTGTAAGTAGAAGTAGCAAGACATACCTGAAATCTTGCTTGTGTATGAGACAGAAAAAAAAGACACCAGCAATCCTACCATCGTGTAAAACAATTACAGGCTTCAGTTTTATACTCACTTGGCAGGATGGTAGTACCTCCCTGGGTGGTTGCTGTCTACCAACCTACTACCTATAAGATTACAATGTGTGGTTTACATATATTAAAATAATTATAAAATAAAATACTTATTACAAAGGTCACTAGTATGCCTAGGCATTTTGGGCAGACTAATACTATTTCCTACTCTATATTGACACAGATTATGAATCATATTGGTATTAAAGAGAGGTAGCTGTAGTGATTAACTAGATTTACAAAAGTGAGGTAGTTCAAAACATTTAAAAAAATTAACAATTAGTTTATCAGTTAATGGGAATGGTCTCATCTTCGCATGATACAGTTTCTATTATAGTTCCTATAATGGAGTGTCTTAGACAGCCTTATGACTAGCTTAAGAATTATATAGCAAAAGCTATATTCAGAATTTTATGTTGACGGTCATTAGTGTAAATTAGGGAAAATCGCAGATATCAAGTAAGTGTATTTGTATTTTGTTTAGAGATGTGCAAGCTAAGGTAGTTTTCATGTGGTTAGCTACTGGTGGGGTGTGTTAGGGAGATAAGGTGTTTTTTAATGGTGCTTTTGAAAATGGTGGTTGAGTCATCAGTTCTAGAGTTTTCAGGCAAGGAGTTCCAGATTTTAGACCCTTTTATGTACTTTGAATTTTTGTATGGATTTAGCTGGACAAGAGGAATGTCATAGAGATGTTTGTGTCTGGTGTTATGCCTATGGGTCCTGGCACAACTATCAAGAAAGTAGTAGTATAAATACCTACCCAAAACAATACTGCCTTACACCCCATTGTAGCATTCTCACTGTAAACTACTTTCAACAACTCGCAATGTTATATTCCCATAATATAATTTCAATATTTATTATTGAAACTATTGTAATTAGAGTAAAATTACTGTCTACTATAAATGATAAAAAGATGTACAACTTATGATCAATTTCTTTAGTATTAAGTAGTCTATAAGCCATTAAATTAAGTCTGCCCATAATGCCTAGGCATGATAGTGGCTTTCTTTGCACTGCAACTCATTACTGTAATTTCATACTCACAATGTAATCTTGCAAAGAAATAAATTTTGTTTGTTTATTTGTTTGTACTGTATATTCATTTTATCACTCTGGGATGCGTTAAATGTCGTAGTATGTTACGTGTGGGTGGGGTGTCCTGGCTGGCTACCATACCTCCTACACTTGACTTCCTACAAATAAATACTACTCACCTCTCAATCACTCGTTACTTACCTAAAATATTTTAGATAAGTAATGAGTGTACTGTGTGTGTATTTTACTTTTTATTGTTTTTAATGCCTAGTTCTATTCCTAACATAATATATGTTAGTGTAAACCTGTTATCTGGCATTTATATGCATTTATAAGTGAAAAAAAATGGCGTTCTGCTTTCCAGCAATGTCTGTTTTCCAGCGGTAGCCTGGAACCTAACCTGCCATATAAGTGGGGCCCTACTGTACTGTATACTGCATATAGACATGCTGATGCTGTAGGTTCTCTGGCTTGCAAATAACACATAAAATTAAGGTGGATGTAAGTGCAAATCTAAGGATGAATGGAAGTATCACTTGTTTTTCAAATAGGCATACTCATAGCCAATCAAGGTGGACAGCTGGGCATGTGTGCACACAGTAGAAGTAGTAAGAAAGTTTAGCTGACACTTGACCCTTTAGGAATAGGCAAGAGGATTCCCACTGTAGTCCTCTTCTGTGTTCATAGACAAGTTCCTCGCCTAGCTGTCAACCAGGCAAGGAGTGAGAGGGAAGGTACATTACCCAAGTTACAGGTGAGGAACACATTGGCAGATGGATCCAAGCATCTTCATTCTAACCTTCTTGTCTCTCCTTGTGTCTTTACACTATGCCTTAGCCACTCAAAACTGATATCTTCTTCTTTCAGCGTACCAGCCGTATCCCACTGAGGTGGGGTGGCCCAAAAGGAAAAACGAAAGTTCCTCCTTTCAAATTTAGTAATATATACAGGAGAAGGGGTTACTAGCCCCTTGCTCCCGGCATTTTAGTCGCCTCTTACGACACGCATGACTTACGGAGGAAGAATTCTGTTCCACTTCCCCATGGAGATCAAAACTGATATATTGGAGGGATTTCACTGGCTGTCCAGTTTCCTCTTCCCCATCCCCAGCAGGTAGGAGACAAGAGGGAAGCAAGGGGTAGTGGGTATGACCAGATACTCGCACAAATACTTCTGTCTCAACCGTCCCACATGCACATCTACAGCAATCGCTTTTCAGTTTCACCTTAGACATTCTATAGGGATTTGTATATATTTTATTAATATGGTACATTTTTTTCATTGTTCAATTATGTACAGTACAGTACTTGGCTGAATTCATGTATTACTGTTTATATTCTTTGAGTATCTTTACTGTTGGATCTTTGTTTAGGAACTTAGTATTTTGTCTGACAGTTCTTTTATTTTCACATAAATTTACACTTAGAGATGAAACTTTAGTTGATGTTTCAGTCCATTCTGGACCACTGTCAAGTCACAGCCACCAGGTCAGGAAAAGGAATGGAGAAAGTAATTTTCTACTGTTACTACTACTACAACTTCTAATACAGCCTCCCCTCACTCAGCGACATACTCGTTTACCAATGACTCGGACTTACAACAGGCTCTCTGACCAGTATGCATACCTAAATAATGCATATTAGAGCTGATTTCCTCTATTCTGTTTATTACAATATACAGTACACTACTGTATAAGCTTTTAAAAATATACTTAAAATGTTATAAATGGTGCAAGGGTGACAATAAAGCAATATCAAAGACGGTTGACATAAACCCACTACCATTATAGTATGCTCCTCACTTAGCGATGAATTCATTTTACCGACGCGGTATTAGGAACGAACTCCATCGTTAATTGAGGAGAGGCTGTACTACCATACTACCATTTCTACTACTAATACTGTTGTTATAACTAATACTAATACCTCTATTACCTTTCTGATCCCTCTTCTTAACCTGTCTTTTGGTTTTTTCTGTTTTTTCTCACTCAGTTATGATTTGACAGTGGTCCAGGACAGACCGAAATGCTGCCTTAAGTTTCCTCTTAAATACTTCACTTAGTGTTTTTTCTATTGTACTTTTTTTACAATACACTAACATGAAATTCTTTAATTGCCTTGAAAAATGTTATTCCTGGCAGATATCAAAACGTAAAAAGAAACTCATGTTTTCCACGAAGAAAAGTACAGACTACGATCAGGCAGAGTTGATATTGTACGAAGAAGTAGCTCGGATGCCCCCATTTATGCGCAAGACACTTGTGCTTATTGGTTCACATGGCGTTGGAAGAAGAACTATTAAAAATCAAGTAATTGCTTCAGATCCATCAAAGTTTGGAACTACATTACCTCGTAAGTATTCAAAAACAATTTATTTTCTATAATTTATTGGTAAGCAAATATTTTATTTAACTAGGCTAATAAATTATTATGACACATTTGTTCTAAATTTTTTACTTCAGGTATTGACTAATTCTTTCTGTAGGGCAGGCAAATATTTGATTTTTTAATCATCGTTGAGTCCTTAATACTTGAAAATGTCATTACCTCATACTTGAAGCATGGGTTTATGCTCAAGCTCTTAAATGAGTTATCTTAAGGTCTTTTCTGAAAAAACAAAAATAAATATTGGACACAGCTTATATCTCAGATGATACTCCATCTTCAGTCTTTCTCTTCACTTGCCTCCTTAGCGTCCCAGCTTTCAAACTACAGTGGAATCTTGGCACTCGAATTTAATTCATTCCAGAAGGCGGTTTGAGTGCAGATCTCTCCAAGTACCGAATGAATATTTCCCCACCAATTTTCTTCTTAGTTGGCTGTTATCACTAACCCTCTTAAGTCGTATGGTGACTTATTTAAACAAATAGTATAAAAAAAATGAGAAGAAACAGAAAATAGTTTACAGCGAAGTTCTGGCAGGTCGTGTTTGTTTAGTTGAGTGCTGAGCAAATGGTCAGCTACCAAGCAATTTGTTTACCAAACAAAGCATTTAAATACTGATTTGTTTGAGTACCAAGGTTCCACTGTACTTTGCTAGGGTCAGATTCCATTAACAATTTATATAACCTGCAGTCAATAATTATTTGATACTCTTCAGTTTGTATTCTCATAATTATAGCATCAGGAAGAAAATTTTGTAACTTGAAATCAGTTGCTGGAAATTGCATGATCTGGCTAATTTAATCCTAATTTGGCATTTAACATACAATATAAAGTAGGGCCCCACTTATATGCCAGGTTAGGTTCCAGGCTACCGCCGTAAAGCAGAAATCACTGTAAAGTGGAACGCCCTTTTTTTTTTTTCCCCACTTACAAATGCATATAAATACTAGATAACAAGTATACTAACATATATTAAGTTAGCAATAGAACAAAATATACATATAGTACACTCATTACTTACCTTAAAATATTTGTAGTCATAATGTAGGGTGAAATGAGCAGTATTTATTGTAAGAAATCAAGTGTGGTATGTATGGTAGCCAGCCAGGCTACTTTACCTACCATACAAGGCCACCCCACCCCCCACACATAATATTCTAGAACATTTAAAGCATCCCAGAGCGATAAAATGCATACACTACAGTTCACTCGATACTTACCTTAAAATACGTATTTGTAGTCATAATGTAGGGCCAGAGGTGAGTAAATAAGATAAAACTAATGAACAAGAGAGAGAGAGAGAATGAGTACATGAGAGAGGACAGGTGCAGAGTTATGTAAACAAACCAGGCATATGTGAGTTTTGTAAACAAACCAACCAGGCATACGCGTCTGGTTTGTGTACAAGTTACGTTGTGTACAAGTTGTCCGTACATTGATACAGCAGAATAAAGAGCAACACTCCCATTCTCATGTAACACCAGTTTTAGAAGAAATGACTGAGTGAAGGCATATGAAAGGAATAATTTTCTACAGTTACCCCCAGTAATATTATAGTACATGTATACACATTTTCTCTGATGTTGGACTAGAGAAAACGTTATTCTTGCTGTCACTCGTACAAGTTGTCTAGCTGCCACATCTCATATTTATGTTAATTTATTCTACTGTGAGGTGTATTTATCATATTTATATGTTATGTATCATGTTTATTATATAATTTTGAAAAAATATCATAGATTAATGAGAATGTGTATATTAACGTAATATACAATATTTAATGAGACTGATTATTATTGAGTATTATTATTATCATTACTAATATGGCATCTCGAGACATAAGACACTCTTACTGATTTTAATGTGTACCTGCATGCCAGCACAGTGTATACATAAGTACAATTATCAGAGTATTATGTATATAAAATATGAAATAACTTTTAAAAACACTTGAAATTTTGGAAAGTTTCCAAACATAATGGAGAGATGCAGTGCTCACAGAGAATGTAAACAAACCGGTTGAGGCACGGTGACCGTATTGGAAAGTCAGGTGGGGGAGCCGTGTAGCGAGTTTTGGTCATAATTTGAAATGTCCGTATTAGCAGAACGCCGTAAAGCGGGGCCCTATTGTATGATAAAATTTTAATATTGTAATATAGTAGTAGTATATAATAATATATACATGTACTATAGTAGTATATACTACTATAGTATATATTATATGAAATCACTGGGTAGGGTATTGAACATTCATAGCTTAGATCCATGTTAGTCAGTTTTACCATAACTGGACTACTTGGCTTCCAACATCCACATTCTGATTTTAATCCTGTTATTATTATTATTATACTATATTCATTAAGAATTGGAAGACCCATAGTTGTTATATAGTGCTTGGGAAATAGGTGGTAATTAGGCTTGATTGAAAGAGGGGGAGCATGTCTCCAATTCCTGCATCAAGATCCTTTGAAGAGCATAAAGGTTATGCCAGTGTACAATTTTATATAACGACCATATAGGATATAGGATTCCTGCAACTTCTCAGTGCTCTCCTCTTCTGCACTCAAGTTTAATTTCTTTGCACAGCATATTTTAAAATTATAGTACTGCACTATCCTTCTATCATTCATTCTTGTAAACCTATGGGAAAGGTGAAAATTTCTTAAAAAATTTCTTCTAAACACCTTTCCTGTTTCTAGAAGACACCTTATCTTTTTGCTGTGCATATTTAGAGACTTTATTGTCAATATCTTTTCACCCATCTCTTTCTTTACTCCTCTCTACTTCCATCACATATAGATACCTCAAGACCCATGAGAGAGTTGGAAGAAGATGGAAAAGCTTACCACTTCACCACCCGAGAAGCAATGGAAGCAGATATTCGTCAGCATCGCTATTTAGAATATGGCGAGCTCAATGGAAACCTGTATGGCACCAAGTTAGACTCCATTCTTTCCATTATCAGATCTGGAAAGATGTGTGTATTGGACTGCTCACCTGCTGTAAGTTCGAATGTAGGGGCATTCAGTTAACAGGTATGAGTATAAAAACTCAATATGCATACCAAGCATTTGGGACTGCATTTTGCTCAGAGTCAAGCTTTAACAAGTCATTCAGAGGATACTTTTTTCATATACTCATACAGTACACATGTATATACATGCATACACACATACACAAATACACACACATCATACATATATACCACACACACAGCTAGGTGCTGCAAATCAACCCCTGCAACTTCAAATAGATGAGTACACACACACGCGCGCGCACACACACACACAGTAGGGACACAGCGTGCGCGAGTCACGCCTTCCGTGCTCCACGATTATAAGTGTTTTTGAGGGCTACCCAAGTGTACCGTAGTGCTGCTAAGTGTGTTAGGGTAGTGAACAATTCCTTGAAGTGATTTACAATCTGTCTGAGCCACATAAGTGTGGGGAGAGGCCACAATATTGTAAGTGATCTAGAAAGTAAAACATGGTGGCGCATCCAGAGCGGGCAGGGCTCAGGTGACGTTGCCACGTGTCACCCAAGAAAGATAATAAAGTGAAACAATCGTGTGACCAGTGAAAGAAATACAGCGAATATAATACATTATATAACGAGAAGAAATTCAGGTGGATCTAGCCAGGACGTCACATCGAGCAGGACACTCTACAGGCTGCTACAGCTGCATTGCAAGTACTGTGTTCACCTATGCGTGGTTGTTTTGGATTTGGGTCTCGGGTTCCAGTTAACCGCCAAGCTGATTGTGAATGGTCCAACTCTTCTAGCACGATAAAGAATAGGCACTCAAGTACTCAATAAGGAATAGCAGTTGGTAATCTATGGAACAAGGCGAGTAAGTTACTATAAACTGAGATAGTGGGAAAAGCATAAATGGCAGCATTGTAAGTAGGTGTGGGTCAAGTCACAGGAGGGTGGGGGTCAGGTCATAAGAGGTTGTGGTCAGGTAAAGGGACTACTGAGACTCCACATAACACTCCAACGCACAATTCCACCTACTTTTCAGACACTTAATAAACAGATAAACCCACACATAATTCCACACACACACACACACATATATACAGACTCATACACTCCCCACCCCCAACAACTTCTCACTCCTTCCCCTAATCCCCCCCCCACTCTCTCATTCACCCTCCTCTCCACCTCTCCCTCTTGCCCCCCTCTCTCCCATTCTCACCCTTGCTTCTCCCTCCTTCTCACTCCCCATATTCTTACCTAAATCACCCTCCCCACCCCTCTCCCATATAGCCACTGTCCACAGTTCCTCCTCTACCTTCCCCCCCACACTCGGACAAACACACTACAGTGGACCCCCGCATAACGATTACCTCCGAATGCGACCAATTATGTAAGTGTATTTAAGTAAGTGCGTTTGTACGTGTATGTTTGGGGGTCTGAAATGGACTAATCTACTTCACAATATTTCTTATGGGAACAAATTCGGTCAGTACTGGCACCTGAACATACTTCTGGAGTGAAAAAATATCGTTAACCGGGGGTCCACTGTACTAACCTAACACACAGAATTACGTAAGTTTTCCATTCTGAGGCAATCAAAATAAAAAAAAATGGGTTGCCAGAAAGCAGGAAGGAAAACCAAGGGACAGGAGGATGAATCTGCAAAGGAAGATTGGGCAGCAGAGCTCACAAAAAAGGGAACAAGAATGGGAAAAGAAACTAGATGAACTTAGCATGAGAATGGAAGAGGATTGATATGGTAAGCAAAAAGTGGGAGATGCAAGTCATAGCAGCAGAGGTTAGGATACAGAGATTAGAAGAGGAACTGAAAAATCTGAAATAGCCTAAAGAACTAAAGAACATTTTGAGAATGACATCAGAGACTGCTACCTCAGTCACAAATAAGGGGACTGTAGGGAAAGAAGGAGCAAAACTGCATGTAGAAGCTCTATCAGAGGGGACTGAAGTAAATGAAAGAGCTAAGCTATATGTGGAGGCCCTAACAGACCACAGCAGAGCCCAGGGAAAGCCAAGAAGGGAAAACGACAGGCCACTGAGCCCAAGTACAATAGATAGTGAAACTGAAGTAAGGAAAGCTGCAATGGAGGTAAATAAATTGAATGAGTGGATACATAAGGATACGCAGTGGGAAAATGAAAGGGAGAGGTCAGTCTTTGTGTATGGGCTCCAGGAAGTTGAAGGGGAAACATATGAAGCAAGAAAACAAGGGAAAAAAAAGCAATTGAAAGCATCATAAAAGCAATAGGAGAAGATGACATGACCCAGCTGGAAAATTTTCGGAGAATAGCGGGGTTTGCAAGAAGAAGAACCCGGCCAGTGAAAAAGACTTTCAAGGCAGAATCGACTCGGAACAGGATCCTGCAGGAGAAAGCAAGATTAAGGGACACGCCGGCATACAGGAAGGTGTAGCTCGACTGCGACAGAACACAAGAAGAAAGGCAGAAACAGATTGTACAAAGGTGAAAGGAGGAAAGAGAGGGGATGGAGGAGACAGACAGGAGATCCTAGGCCTAGGAAGATCAAATACAGCCTTCCTCACAACTTCCTATAGAAGCCCCCCAACCAGGTCAACCCCAGTGCAACCAAACATTCTAAACCAAAACACCCATGCTATATCCAATGGCCCCCACCCACTGCATTACAAACTCCACCCCCACAGCAACCACCCATAGTTCCCTATCAGGTCTCCCACTTCCCCAACCCCAATATACCCCCCAGACCACAGCCTTAGAAAAGAAGTTGAAGGTGTAGTATACAAATGCAGATGGTATAACAAATAAGTGTGAGGAGTGGCATGAAAGAATCAAGGAGACATCCCCAGACATAATAGTACTCACAGAAACAAAACTCACCAGAATGATAACAGATGCAATCTTTCCACCCGGATATCAAATCCTCAGGAAAGACAGAGGGAGGAGAGAGGGAGGAGTTGCACTGCTCATTAAAAACCAGTGGGGTTTTGAGAAAATGGAAGGAATGGATGGCATGGGCGAAAGGGACTACTTAGTAGGAACAATCCAGTCTGAGGGACATAAGGTGATAATTGCAGTAATGTACAACCCACCACAGAACTGCAGGAGGCCAAGAGAAGAATATGATGAAAGCAACAGAGCAATGGTCGACACACTAGCCGAGGTGGCGAGAAGAGCACACATGGGGGGAGCAAAGTTACTAGTTATGGGTGATTTCAATCATAAGGAGATTGACTGGGAAAACCTGGAGCCCCATGGGGGTCCTGAAACATGGAGAGCCAAGATGATGGATGTGGCTCTGGAAAACCTCATGCATCAACATGTTAGAGACACCACCAGAGAGAGAGGTGAGGATGATCCAGCAAGACTGGACCTTGTATTCACCTTGAGTAGTTCGGACATAGAGGATGTCATGTATGAAAGGCCCCTAGGAGCTAGTGACCATGTGGTTCTGTGCTTTGACTACATAGTTGAGCTCCAAGTGGAGAGAGTAGCAGGAATTGGATGGGAAAACCCAAACTATAAAAGGGGGAACTACTCAGGCATGAGGAACTTTCTGCAAGACATTCAGTGGGAGAGGGAACTGACAGGAAAACCAATACAAGAAATGATGGACTATGTGACAGCAAAATGCAAGGAGGCAGAGGAAAGGTTTGTTCCCAAGGGAAACAGAAATAATGGGAAGAACAGAACAAGTCCTTGGTTCACCCAAAGGTGCAGGGAGGCAAAAACTAGGTGTACTAGAGAATGGAAAAGGTACAGAAGACAGAGAACTCAGGAAAATAAAGAGATTAGCCAAAGAGCCAGAACGAATATGCACAGATAAGAAGGGAGGCTCAGCGACAATATGAAAATGATAAAGCATCGAAAGTCAAGTCTGACCCGAAGCTGTTGTATAGCCACATCAGGAGGAAAACAACAGTCAAGGACCAGGTAATCAGACTGAGGAAGGGTGATGGGGAGTTCACAAGAAACGACCGAGAGGTGTGTGAGGAGCTCAACACGAGATTTAAAGAAGTATTTACAGCGGAAACCAGTAGGACCCCAGGAAATCAGAACAGGGGGGAACACCAACAAGTGCTGGATGAGGTACACATAACCAAGGAGGAGGTGAAGAAGCTGCTATGTGAACTTGACACCTCAAAGGCAGTGGGACCAGACATCTCTCCGTGGGTCCTAAGAGACGGAGCAGAGATGCTGTGTGTGCCATTAACAAAGATCTTCAACACATCCATTGAAACTGGGCAACTCCCTGAGGTATGGAAGATGGCAAATGTAGTGCAGGATCCAGAGTCACAGAGGGTGAGCCAATGGGAGGAGGAAAGGGCAAAATCAGTGTTTATCCATGGGCTTCAGGAGAGAGAGGAAAGGACACACATTGAAAGGCAGCAGGAAGAAAATAAGGAGATTGAGAAAATCATCATGGAAATAGGTGAAGAGATGGACGAGATTGTAAATTTTCAGAGAATAGGGGGGTACTCAAAGGGGAGAAACCGACCAATCAAGCTGATTCTCAGGACGGAAACAGTGCGGAACAGGATCCTCCAAGAGAAACCACGATTGAAATACTCAGAAGAGTACAAGAGGGTGTTCCTAGACAGAGACAGAACACAATCAGAAAGACAGCAGCTGAGGGAGAGGACAAAAAAGCGAAAGGACCTAGGAAAAGAGACAAGGATGGAACCAGCAGAGGTCAGTCAGAGCAGAACAGAACAGCAAGGGCAAGCACACACACAACTATTCTCAGAACCATACAACCCATCACACCATCCCAACACACACTACAATCCATACCCACAGCCTCCACCCAACACCGAGCTATAGAATCCCACAGTATGCCACCAGGTCTCCCACCCTCACAGGTCCCACAAACCACAGTGTTGAAAAGGAAACTGAAGGTATGGTACACAAACGCTGATGGTATAACAAATAAGTGGGAGGAGTGGCACGAAAGAGTCAAAGAGGCATCACCGGACATCATAGCTCTCACAGAAACCAAGCTTACAGGTATGATAACAGATGCCATCTTT